AGCGCATGGATGGGAGAGAGCTTGAGCCAGAGCTCTGGGAGCAGGGTGGGATAATCCTGAGGGGGACAATCCTTGTCGTTTGCTTCAGGAGGAAGCCAAAAACTTCATCACCCCCGAGAACCTGGAGGCACGGATCCAGGAGTGCCTGGACAACCCACGGAACTACAACTTCGCCATCGACAAGAACGGGCGGATCGTCAAGCGCACGGTGCTCTCATAGCAGCCCTGGCAGGGGGCTCCCGGCCTGCCTTGTGTCCAGAGCCCCCCAGAAAACACAGATCCTTCCTTGGAATGTGTAAATTGGCCAGAGAAGTGGTGGAGAAGGGGTCTGGCTGTGCTGCCTCCGAAGGGTTAACGTCTGTGGGAAAAGGGGGTGAGGGGAAACTTGGAGGCTCCAGCAGCCTGGCTCAGCCCTGTTGCTGTGCCTGTGATCCCACCTCCCACGGGTTTGGATCCCTGCTGCCTTCACACACAGCGTGTGGGCAGGAGCAGGAGCAGTCCCGAGGCAGAGCCTGGCTCAGCTCCTCGCTGTCAGCTCCTCTGGATGCTTCCAAAAGCAAACGAGGGCTGAATGAATTTGTAGGAAACACTGACCTTCCCTTTTTTTGTTGTTGGGGGAAGGAATTAATTGTAATCTTGATTTCACACTTCAAACCCTCCTTTGCACATCCCTTGGTGTGGCTGAATAAGAAAATGTGTCTGAATGATCCAGGATTTCTGGTGTCTCCTTATTCTTCCCTTTAGGCTTAATTTATTCATCACCACTGAAGGTAGAGATAAAATTGTAATGACTTTGGGTGTTCTGGGTTGTTGGGGTCTTGCAGGCTGTTAGCTTTGTCCTAAAACTTCTGGTTTTGGGCTGCCCAGTGTTGAGCCATGGTCTGCAGGTCCCTCCTTCCCTCCCTCCCTCCCTCCCTCAGTTCATTGACCCGAAACCCTCACTTTTTACTTCCACTTTTCCCTAAAAGTGGCTTCTTCTCCCGAGCCTGCACCTCAACCAGACGAACACACAAAACCCACAGACTTATGTCTGGATTGTTTTTCTGTCCAAGTTTTATTTCTAATTAAGCTCATCACTTCAGTCTGACTCACAGCCTGGAGTGGGGCTGGGGCAGCGATGGATGCGGGATCCCTCCCGGGTGGGCTACACAAACAGCAGCTCCTGGTCACAGGATGAGTCAGTGCCACAGCCCTCTGAGGGGAGAAAGGGGGGAGTGTGAAACCAGGCAGCACCCACCAGACCCCAGGGAACCCCCAAAACGGCCCCCAGAGATCCCTGAAACAGCCCCCGGGGACCCTCTGAACCAGCTCCCAGAGATCCCTGAAACAACCCCCAGGAACTCCCCAAAACAGCCCCTGGGGACCCTCTGAACCAGCTCCCAGAGATCCCTGAAACAGTCCTCAAGGACTCCCCAAACTAACTCCCAGGGACCCCTAAAACAGCCCCTAGAGATCCCTGAAACAGCCCCCAGGGACACACAAAAGCAGAGCCCAGAAATCCCTCAAACATCCAGAGACCCCCCGGCACTGGGGTTTAATGAGCTCGTGCTCACTCCGTTCTCTGCTGCTTCCTGGGATTTACAGCAGGATCTCTGTAGTTTAGGAAGGAGGGGGGATTTTGAGGAAAAACGAAGAGCAGGAGGGGACGTGGCTCCTGCACTTGCTCAGCCCCCAAAATTTGTTTCCCTCTGCCCCAAACCCTCCCGGTCTCATCCCTTCCCTGGGGTCTGGATAGCTCATGGAGCGTGGTCTGGCTGTCGGGGCGATGGATAGACACACGGACGGGACAAAGACAATCCCTTGGGCATCCTCCCCTGTCTCACTGTTCTAAGAACCCTGGATTCCCTCCCGGGTGTGCGAGGGCTCAGGACAGAGATCCCGGGATCCCGTGCTCCCTCACCGGTGCTGCAGCAGATGCCGGGAGCGGCGCAGCTCCCCCCGGAGCCGCAGGGTTTGCGTCCCGACTCGCAGGGGGTGGGCAGGAAGTTTTCCTCCTGGCAGCGCAGCGTCTCCGAGGTGCCGATGTAGCAGCCCAGCTCCTCCCCGCAGCAGATGTTGGGCCCGAAGCAGTGGCCCTTGTTCCGGGGACCGCAGGGCAGGCACTGCTCGGGGAACGGGGGAAAGGAAGGTTGGGAGGAGGGAAGGATGGGGTTGGGAGCGCCCCGAGCCGCCAGGACCTTACCTTCCTGATGTCCATGTCCAGCACAGCGCGTTTGCCCCCGATGGGGCAGTTCTGGATGTAGCAAGCGGAGGAGAGAGTCAGGAGCCCCAGGAGGCAGAGGGCCAGAGCCTTGCAGGACATAGCGGCGGGATGGGGGGAATTTTGGCTGCTCATCCCAACAGCTGGCCCTGTATTTATAGTCCTGGCTCCTACTTAGGGATTCTGGCACCGGCGTCACCAGTGTTCCTTAAAAACCACAAGGCATTGCTGCCCACAGCAGAGGGCAAGGCTAATAGCCGGAGGTCGAGGACGTGAGGTCAAGGACGAGCTGTTGGTTTGCTCCTCTGTGATGAGCCTGGCAGCAGCAGGGATGTGTGGAGATTGTGGATGGAGCTGGATGGACATGTGGAGGTTGTGGATGGAGCTGGAGGAACGGGGGGAGGTTGTGAATAGACATATGGAGGGTGTGGATGGAGCTGGATGGGCATATGGATGTTGTGGATGGACGTGTGGAGGTTGTGGATGGAGCTGGAGGAATGTGTGGAGGTTGTGAATAGACATATGGAGGTTGTGGATGGAGCTGGATGGGCATATGGATGTTGTGGATGGACGTGTGGAGGTTGTGGATGGAGCTGGAGGAACGTGTGGAGGTTGTGAATAGACATGGAAGTTGTGGATGGAGCTGGATGGGCATATGGATGTTGTGGATGGACGTGTGGAGGTTGTGGATTGAGTCTGGGCTTGGGGCCCTCCTCTGGCAGCTACTTTGGGCTGCTGAGCTGTGGTTTGTCCCATTGGGAGCCCCTCTGGCATGGGGAGGGTAGGGATGAAGGAAGGCAGCTGCAGGTGGGATGTGTCCACCCAGGAGTGGGGTGAGAGAGGTGTGTGTTTCCCTTGGCTTCAAATCCCTCTGGGTGGGAAGAAGCAACCCCATATCCTTTGGGATCATCCATGGGGTTGTCCTTGTTGGTCCTGTCCACCCATCCGTGCCTGGCCTTTGGGGGCTGCTCAGCACTGGGCTCATCCTGCTCTGGGATAACAGTGACACCCAGCCCATCCCCACCCGTGTTCATCCAACAGCTCCAAAGCCACCTGAGAACACCAAACCTCCCGGGCAAAGACCTGAAATCCCAAATTTCCCCACTGCTCCTCCTTGGAGCTGCACACAGGGATTCAGTGAGGTGTCCTGAGCCACATCACCAGCAGACAAAGCCCTCCCTCCTCCTCCCTGAGAAGCAGCGCTGAGGATGAGGCCGAAGGCTGACGCAACCACCCAAGGTCCTGCTCACCCCAGCCCCTTGCCTTCCTTATCCCAATTAGGAGCTTCCCAGCTTGAATAAATTTCCTTGCTGAGGACAAACCTTGATGTCCACTGAGATCATTACCCTTCACTGGCTTAATTGGGAATTAGGCAGCCCAGAGCTGGACAGCCATGACCTTTTCCTGTCCCTCTGGCTTGCTTCAAAATCCACCACTTAGCGAGGCTGGCACGAGGGCAGCCGGGTCCCTGTCACCCACCCGGGGTCAGTCCCAGTCCCTGGGGACAAGGCAGGCACTGGGATCCATGGTAATGGGTTGGAAATGGGGCTCAGCACCTGCTGCGTGCTGTCCCAGCAGCTCAGCTCCGGCTGCAGCACAGCGTGGAGGGAGGGAATTGTCACCCCAGAGCCCCTGTGGCTGCTCCAGGGGTGCCCAGACCCCTGCAGGACGTGTCTCAGGGAGACAAATATGGAAAAACCCCAGTTATCAGCCCCTGGTGCTTTTTGGGAACTCGATTTTTGCCTGATTTTGAGATGTTCAGATGGAGCATTCCCAGCTCAGTCACACATTCCCGGTGCTGCAGGAATGTTGGGGGTTCACATCCTGCTTCTTGGAAAAGTCCAAGAAAAGTGCTAGAGCTGGGCTGAAAGCCCAATTCCCTCATCCCAGCTTGGAGTCCCTCATCCATGCTGGTGTCACCCCTTTCCCGATGATTTTGGGGTGATTTGGGGTGGCCCCCATCCCCAGGGCTGGGATCAGATGCCGGCTGTGGGAAGCAGGTCCTGGACCAATCCTGCATTCCCTGCAGGGAGCTGCCGTGGGCAGGATGGATCCCGCTGTGCCAGGGAGCTCCACCTCCCCGGAGGTGCCACCTCCCTCAGGGACAGTATAAAGGACGAGTTGTCCCCTGTGCCATGGCCAGTCCCAGCCCGGAGAGACCTCGGAGCAAGGACCCCGCAGGGTAAGAGAGCCTGGAGAGGGGTGGGATACCCCAAATTCTGGGGATGACTAGGGGATAACGGGGACTGATCCTCCCTGTTGGGATCCAGAGGGGATGGGGAAAGATGAGAGCAGCCCTGGAGGGGGTCTTTAGAGCTGGGAGCCCAAAACTCTCTGCTCTTGAGGGATTTGGGGTGCTTTTTCCAAGGAAAAATGTTTTCCTTACTTTTTATCATTTTTAGTAGATGCTGTGCTGATTGCTGAAGGCAGCGAGGCCCCAAATCTGCCCCAAAGAGGTAAGGTGACAGTGGCACACCCCAGCTGTCCCCAGTCCCCTGGGGCTGGGGATGCTGCTGGGTGGGACTCCAGATCCCAAATTCCAGCTCTGCCCGAGCTCCTTCCCGGAACCAGGAGCTAAAATGACAGAGCCCAAATCCTGCACCCAGCCCAGCCGAACCACCTGCACTCTGCGGGGATCTGGGACAGAAGGACCCTCCAGCACCCCCATCCTGAGCCCCAGACAGATCCCCAGGAGCCACCCCCAGCGCCCAGGACGAGGCCACCACAGTGCACGAGGGCTTTTATTGGGTCTCCTATGTACAGAGCCGAGGTGGGGGGCTCGGTCAGGGTTGGGGGGGTCTCAGAGCAGGGGGTGCTTGCCCTGCTGCTGCTGCCGGTTTGCCAAGTGCATGAGCTTGAGGAGCAGATCTCCGGCCGAGCCATCCAGCACCGTCAGGTTCTTCTCCTCCTCCGCCGCCTCCTGAGCGCCCTCGCTGCCCTCGTCCAGGCAGCCGCTGTCCATGGCACACGTGTCTGCCGCAGGAAGCAAAACGTGCCCGTGGAACAGGTTATTTGGGATCGTCAGGGGCTCGTTTTCGGCTGGGGAAGGGCTTGGTGGCAGCACGGTTCGTGCTCCAGATTATCTCTCCTGTTAAGCAGGGAGCGGGGCTGGAATTTCTGGCACATCAGAGAGGATGTGCTGGCCAGGAAAAGCTCGTGGTGGGTCAGCAAGGAGCTGCGAGCCCAATCCTTTAAATCAGAATGGTTTGGGTTGGAAGGGACTTTCAAAAAACCTCTTGTGCCACTCCCTGGCATGGGCAGGGACACCTTCCATTGTCCCAGGCTGCTCCAAGCCCCATCCAGCCTGGCCTTGGGCATTTCCAGGGATCCAGGGGCATCCACAGCTTCTCTGGGCACCCTGTGCCAGGGCCTGCCCACCCTCACAGGGAACAATTCCTTCCCTACAGTCAGCCTGAATCCAACCCTCCCCAAATTATCTCCGAACGCTTCCATTCCACCCCTCACTTTCCCCCCCACCAAAACTAAACCCCACCAGCAGACAACCTTTACAAACCCCACCAGCAGACAGCCTTTACCTGCCGAGCCCTCCCCGTTGCCATCCCTCCCTGCTCCCCACCCTCCCCGGTGTCCCCTCCGCGGTGTCGGTGCCCGGTTACCGGCGGTGCAGCAGATGCCGGGCGCGGCGCAGCGGCCCCCGGAGCCGCAGGGCTGCCCGCCGGGCTGGCAGGGCGAGGGCAGCAAATCCTCCTGGGCACAGCGCCGCGTCTCCGCCGTGCCCAGGTAGCAGCCCAGCTCCGCTCCGCAGCAGATGCCGGGCCCGAAGCAGTTCCCTCTGTTGCCGGGACCGCAGGGCAGGCACTGCGGGAAGGAGCTGCCTCAGTGCCCGCACCCCGAACAAACCCTCCTTGCATCCCCTTGGATCAGAAACCCCCGCGAGAATGCCCCCCCGGGTATGGAAAGCAGCTCCCCACCAGCTCCTGGAGGTGCCACACTGCCACCAGCAACGGTGACCTCGTGTCCCCGCTTTGGGGTGTCCCCATGACCTCCCTGTCCCCTCTCCGTGCGCTGTCCTGTCCTGCTCCCCCCAGCCCAGCCTCTTCTCCAGGTGCCAACAGCGCTTTGGAGCTGTCACTCCCCGCCACTGCCCCATCGCGTGTCCCCCTGCCACCCAAAAACCCCTCTGCTCCCGGCAGCGTGGCACAGCCAGCGGTGCCAGAGGTGGCAGGGATCACCCCCAGGTCACCGTGTCCCTCCCGAAGCTCCATCCCGTGTCCCCAAGCGCCCATCCCGTACCTGTCGCAGAGCTGTGTCCGCCAGCGCCCGCTTCCCGCCCCGGGGGCAGTTCTGGATGTAGCAGGCGGAGGACAAGGCGAGGAGGCAGAGGAAGGAGAGGGGCAGCGAAGGCTCTGCCATGGTGCAGGGTGCCCGCGGCCGTGCCAGGGGAAGCTGCTCCAGCTGCGTCTGGCCCCGTGCTGAGGGAGCTGCTATTTATGCTGCCATCACCCCTTCCCAGGGGAGGAGGAGGAGGAAGAAGAGGGATGGGTTGGGTTTTTTTTTTGTTGTTTTTCCTTTTTTTTTTTTTTTAGATGGGTTGGGTTTTTTTGTTGTTTTTCCTTTTTTTCTTTTTTTTTTTTCTTTTTTTTTTCTTTTTTCCCAAATCGCATCCAAGCAAATCTGTAATTGAGATGATTCAGTGCAGCAGCACTCGGGGCTGGCGAATCCCACCCTTGGCTGGCCCTGGGATGGGTTTGGGAAGGGGCACTGGATGGACTGGGGGTGGATTCAGGGAGAGATGATCCTTCAGAAGGTGCTGGTTTGGGGAGGGATGGGGGTTTGGAAGCTGCAGTCTGGGGAGGGATGTGAATTTGGGGACAGATGTTCATTTAGGAGATGTGGTTTTGGGAAGGATGCAGATTTTGGGAGAGGTGTTGGTTTGGGGGTGATGCTGGTCTGGGAAGGATGCAGATTTTGGGAAGGGTGTTGGTTTGGGGGTGATGCTGGTCTGGGATGGATGTGGATTTTGGGAGAGGTGCTGGTTTCAGAGGGATGCTGGTCAGGGAGCAATGCTAATTTGGGGAAGAATAAGGGTTTGGAAGGTGCTGCTTTAGAGAGGGTTGTTTATTTGGAGGATTCTGATTTGGGATTGATGCTGCTTTGGAAGGACGGAATGCAGATTTTGGGAGAGGTGCTGGTTTGGGAAGGGATGCTGCTCTGAAGGGGGGATGGTTTGGGAAGTGGTGTTTGTTTGGAGCATGCTGGCCCAGGAGGGATGCTGCTCTGGGGAGGGATGATGCTTTGGGGATGCTGGTTAGGGAGGGATGCTGCTTTGGGGATGCTGATTTAGGGATGGATGCTGCTTTGGGGATGCTGATTTAGGGAGGGATGCTGCTTTGGGGATGCTGCTTTGACTGATGCTGCTCTGGGAGGGGATACTGGAGGAGAGTGACGGGGTTGGGGCTGGGAGAGACCCCTGGGTGCACAAAAACACCCCAAACCCAGGGGCTGGGCTGCAGCATGGGGGTGCAGGGCAGGACCCTGTCCCCAAAGTGATCCATCAGTGCCACCCACGGCTCTCCTGCCACTTCCCCCTCTTCTCCAAAAAACCAGAAGGGAGGGAAAGCAGTGGGAGAGGGGGGTGCAAAAGAAAAGGCACCTCTGGGGTTGGTACCAGCACATTCACGTCACCCATGGGCTGCCAAAACCATCTGTACAGGAAAAACACCATCAGCAACCCCTGCCCCATCCAGCCATGAACATTCCTGCTGTTCCCAGATCCCTTTTCCAGCCGCACCCGGGGCAACCTCAGCAAAGTGAAATTAATGTGCAGAGAGGAATCCCGTGCCTGTGAGTATCCACCCTCTGCTTCTCCACCCCAAAAAACTGCTGGCACTGGCTGACAGTGATCAGGAGGGTTTGTCTGGGGAGGCTGGACAATGTGGGGGTGCTGCCAGCTGTGGTCCCACCTCTGGAGTGGTTTTATCCTTCACTCATCCTCACATAAGGTGGGGAATTGAGGCAGAGAACCATAAAAATCAGCCTGGACGTCACTTGGGGTGGCTGAACATGTTTCTCCCCTGCCCCTCATTAGTTTCCCTCATTTTCTCCCCCTCATTAACATCCCTTTTCTGCTGGACAAACACCCCAGCCCCATTTAGAGGGAGGGGAATGGTGGTACCCCGGGTGGGGAAGGGGCTGCTCTGCCTGAGCATCCCAAAGGAAATGGATCCCGCTGCAATCCTCCCTGGAAAACCTTGCTGTTTGTTTCCAAGTGCTCTGAAAAGCTCCACAGGAAGTAACGCTGGAGGGGGCTGAACCCCAGAGCACCCCCAAAGGGAAACTGAGGCACAAAGGGAAGCATCTTATGTATCAGTGCTGGGGGGTCCCAGCCTGCTCCTGTGATTTTGGAGCACGGCTCAGCCCGGGGGGTGACAGCCCTGGGCTTGGGGGCTTTGCTGGGTGACACGAGGGCGATTTCCCCCCTTCCAGAGGGGTGAGGGTGGCCGCAGCCCCTGACTCAGCTCTCCCTGGGACCGGGGGAGCGGCGAGTTCCCAGATTTTGCCCCGTGACGCTGAATCACCCACGCGGGGCAGCCGCGGGGGATTTACCGCCCGGCATCATCAGCACCAGCCTCTCTCCCCCATCCCAGCCCATCCCAGCACAGCGGGAGCCCAATCCCACTTACGTTGCAGGGCCGGGGAGGACGCAAAAGCCCTCGGCTGGGAAAACTTTTCTTTAAAAGAACCCCAAATGTCAGCTCTAAATTGGGTGTTAGGCGCTCGTGCTCCGTCTCTTCATTACTGTATCGTAAAATTACATTAGCCGGGAACGATCTGCATTCAAATGACTCTGTGTCTGGAATGATAACGCGGGAATATGAGATTAAAATGTAATTATGCTCTTTAAAGTCAAGGAAGGTTAATAAAATGTTTTTCCGAGTTGCAGAGGCTCTGCAGCAGCAAGGCAGAATCACTTACGGGAATCAAGGGGAGGATGAGGTGGGAACGGGGAGGGGGAGAGGGGTAGGAAACACAAAAAGGGGGGTTGGGGAGGAAAAGATTGGGGTCACCTGGGGTGAGTCATGGGATAAGGGATCCCGGGGGGGTTCCCAGGGGTGGGCAGAGCCAGCCCTGCTGGGCTGTGATGCTCCCTGGTACCCGGGGTACTGCTGGGCCCCCATCCCACACCCTGCTCCCAACAGAGGCCTTGGGTTACTCAGATTCCTACCCCAAATCCTCCCACAGCAGCCCCAGGGTCCCTCCTCTGTCTGCAGCACTGGGTTTGCTCTGCCACGTCCCTGCTCTTCTCCAGAGGCTGCCCCTGATCCCCTAAGAGCCCCCGCAGGCTGTGGCTGGTGCCAGGGCACTCAGCAGGGTGCCAGTGGCTGCCATCCCCATCCCAGCTCCCCTCGGGAATGAGGGAAATCCCAAAGGGATTGGGAATGGGGCAGCACCCTCAAATCTGCCCCCTTGCTCAGCCAAGCCCCAGCTCTTGTGGACGCCAGCAAAGGGGCTGGGGCTGCCAGAGGGGCTCAGCCATGGAGATCATGGAGTCTTTGAGGTTGGAAAAACTCTCCAAGATCATCAAATCAAACCATTCCCCCAGCACTGCCAAGGCCACCAATAATCCATGTCCCCAAGGGCCGTGGAAAAGCTCTCCAAGATCATCAAATCCAACCATTCCCCCAGCACTGCCAAGGCCACCAATAATCCATGTCCCCAAGGGCCACATCCCCATGGCTTTTAAATCCCTCCAGGGATGGGGACTCCAGCACTGCCCTGGGCAGCTGTGCCAGGGCTGGACAACCCTTTCCATGGAGAAATCTTCCCAAATATCCAACCTGAACCTCCCCCTTCCTTCATCAACAGCAGGAGCTTCGTTATCTCTGGAGCCCCCAGCGAGGTTTGTGGGAGCCCCTTTGGGGCAGGAGAAGGGATGGAGGTGATGGAGCTTGGCTGCAGCACACACAGCTCCCAGGGCCAAAGTTTCACCAGGATAAACCAGAGGGATGCTGGAAAATGGGATGAATTTCACTGATTTGTAGTGATAACATTCCACCAGGATAAACCAGAGGGATGCTGGAAAACGGGATGAATTTCACTGCTCTGTGCATTTCCTGCCTCTGCCGTGGCTGGAGGGGGATGCAGCAGGGAAGGAGAAATTTCTTGAAGGCTTCAGGCTGGCAAGGGAGAGCTCCCTGCTCCTGCCTGGGGGCTCTAATGCTCCTCAAATGGATCTGTCACTGTCACCGTGGCCCCGTGGCTGACGGGTGGTGGGGAGGAGGATCCTGCACCTCCTCCCCTCTCATCACAGTTAAAGATGCTCCTCTGCTTCCCTGACAGCTGGAAAACAGCTTTGATGCCTCTTTGAAGGCAGCACAGGCAACGTCAAGACTGGCTGGGGCGCTGCTCTGATCATTTCCACGGGCAAATCCATCCTGCTGGGGCGTGGACGTCACGCCGGGAGGTCACTGACCAACAAGGGATGGATTTGTCCAAAAAATGCTCGAATGCTTTAGAGGAAATTGCTCAGGCTGCAATCAGTTCCATTTCCCAGCTCCCAGGGAGAGAGCAGGCTTGGGGATGGGAATAAACGTGCTGGTGGCATCCCTGTGGGAGCTGGAGAGGGATTGCTGTGGGTCCAGGCACAGGAAATTCCTGGCTCTGTGTCACCCCCCAGCTTGGGGGGCAGAGAGGGACCCTGCTGCCCACAGGGGTTTTGGGGGGACTCACAGCCAGGTGGGGCAGGTGATCCTGGAGCAGGAGCTCCAAAATGTGGGTGCAGAGGTAAATTCATCCCTGGATCCTCTGCAAGAGGGGACACAGCAGGTGAAATGTGCTGCCAAGGGTCCCAGAGGGTTAAGGAGGAGAAACTGGGGGATGAAGGCTCTGAGAACCTGCAGTGAGGTGGAGATGAGCCCTGGTGTCCCAACACCACTCCTTCCCTTCAACCCCTGCTCCGTGTGGCTCCTGCCCCTCCCTGCAGAACAAAGGGAACCTGGAGGAAATTTGGGATGGCTCCCAGCTGGATCACTGCCCACCCTCACACACCACAAGGAACTTTTGGGCACTGGAAGAGCTTTGGAAGCATCCAAGCTTTGCTGGCTGTGGTTGGTGGCTCTGGGATCCAGAGGCAGCCACCCATCCTCTCCCTTTCCCTGGGGGAGGTGTGAGAGCTGAATCAGCCCGGGATGGCTCACTGCAAACACGACACCACCACTGCAATGGAGTGGATTTACTGCCTCTGAATCGTGGGGCTTTTAAGAATTTTGTGCCTGTTTTATGAGTGTTTATTATTTTAAGAAGCGTGATTTTCTATTTTTGCTGGGAATGGAGACGGGCTGTGAGCTCCTGCTGACGCAGACGGGGTCAGGATCAGCGTGGGGCCAGCACAAAGCTGTGTTCCAGGGATGAGC